AACGTGACATCACTTCCTGTGTGTGTCTCAGGTGGTGTGGACACGGCGGCGGTGGGCGGAGTCTTTGACATCTCCAACGCGGACCGCCTGGGCTTCTCGGAGGTGGAGCTGGTGCAGATGGTGGTGGACGGGGTCAACCTGCTGGTGGACATGGAGAAGCGTCTGGAGAGCGGCGAGGACATCGACGACCTGATGCCCGAGCAGAAGTGAACCATGTCACTGTAACCTCTGACCCCTCACCTGCCCTGCCCTCACTAACACCCCCCCCCCCCCCCACTGTAGTCAATCAGAAACCGTCCTGAAGACGCTTAGAGCCGCTCAGTTAGACCTCAGTCTTCCGACATGTGAAGGACTTCTTGTTTCCTGTCTCCACCTGTTGGACCATCTAACACTTGTAACACCTAATAAAGTCTGTGACTGAACACCTGCAGCTCACCTGTCCTCCTTCTGCACCTGCACCTGCACACACAGACAGCCATAAGAAGATACAATTGCACCTGTGTGACGTCACCGTCGCCTGTGTCAGACGCTCATAGATCTGAGTTTGTAACAGCGTAAAGTAGTGAGCGTGCAGCTTGTACAACAGTGTAAAGTAGTGAGCGTGCAGCTTCTATAACAGTGTAAAGTAGTGAATGTGCAGCTTATATAACAGTGATAACAGTGTAAAGTAGTGAGTGTAGTGAGTGTACAGCTTGTATAACAGTGTAAAGTAGTGAATGTGCAGCTTATATAACAGTGATAACAGTGTAAAGTAGTGAGTGTACAGCTTGTATAACAGTGTAAAGTAGTGAGCGTACAGCTTGTATAACAGTGTAAAGTAGTGAGCGTGCAGCTTCTATAACAGTGTAGTGAGCGTGCAGCTTCTATAACAGTGTAAAGTAGTGAGCGTGCAGCTTGTATAACAGTGTAAAGTAGTGAGTGTAGTGAGTGTACAGCTTGTATAACAGTGTAAAGTAGTGAATGTACAGCTTGTATAACTGTAAAGTAGTGAATGTGCAGCTTGTATAACAGTGTAAAGTAGTGAATGTGCAGCTTGTATAACAGTGTAAAGTAGTGAATGTGCAGCTTGTATAACAGTGTAAAGTAGTGAGCGTACAGCTTGTATAACAGTGTAAAGTAGTGAGCGTACAGCTTGTATAACAGTGTAAAGTAGTGAGCGTACAGCTTGTATAACAGTGATAACGCCCCACAGAGGCTCAGTAGGGTTCAGGTCTGGAGACCAGTCCTGTGTCCATGGCTGTGTGACGTGTTATTTTGAGGGGACAGCAGATTTACACTGTTATACAAGCTGCACACTCACTACTTTACACTAGAGCAAAGGGTCATTTCTTCAGTGTTGTCACATGAAAAGATCAAACATGTGGGGGGCAGACTCACTCTGTGAGATACTGTAATTAATTAAATTGAATTAACGGCTCAGCATTCACGGCCCTCGCTCTGCTCTAATCATTTTACTGATTGTGATGGAGATATATATTGTGAGTGATTGGGGGGGATGATCTCCTGCATGTCGTCACTGTTACCATGACAGGCGTTATCGTAGTTTAGAGCCAATGAAAGGACAGGAAGCGGTGCTGCGTTCAAGGTGTTTAATGACACACAGGTGAACCTTCAGTAACAAACAACGACCAGCTGACGGCCAGCTGACCTGCTCACAGGTACAAAATCAAACTCTAAAGCAGGTGAGTCCGTCAGAAAAACTATTTACATTCAGAACGACTCACCGACCTGTCCGGGTCCCTCCCACCTGATCTGACCTCTACCAGTGGGGCGGGGCCAAAACACTTTCAAAATAAAGCACTTCCTGTACAGGAGGGTTAGGGTCAGGAGTCAGAGTCCCATGATGCTTCACAGCTTCAGTTCATCTGCGATCTTGGAGGCGATGTTCTTGAAGGCGATTGAGGTTCCTGAGATCCGTTTGAAGCGGACGCCGTTGAGCGAGAGGCGGGGTAGTTTGCAAACCTCCATCTCCCATTGGACGAGGCTGCCGGCGAGGCCGTCGCCATGGACACAGAGCAGCAGGAAGCGCTCACGCTGCTTGTGGTCGCAGTTGTTGGCGTCCAGGACTTTCCTGATCTCCCTCATCATGTCCTGAGGCTCCATGGAGGACGTGGTCTTCATGCTCCAGGTGAACCTCAGGGAGCGAGGCTTCGAGTCCTTCAGCTGAGGAGCAGCAAGAGAACCCGGGTCCTCCTTCTGATCACATGACACGTTACTACGGGGGAGGGAGGGGGGGGTACAGAGAATTATAACAACAATCACATCAACAGCATCACCATCCTGCTGTCACCTGTCGGACTTACCTGGACTCTTCAGGTCTGCTGTTCCTCTCAACCTCAGACACAGCTCTGCAAGCAAGGACACAAGGAGGGACACAAGACACAAGGAAGGAATCAAGGAGGGACACAAGGAGGTGCATGTGAAGTTAATGAGCAGATAGGTCCTCAGGGCCTCATTTATAAAGCTGAAGGTTGTGTACAGACAAACACTTCCTGTGTGTCAGATGCCTGTAAACAGTGAAACTCATTAATATTAATCCGACACACAATGAGGGGTTTTAGGCTGAAGGCAGAAACATCATGATGTTTGTGCTCCAGAGGAAAGAGGGCCCGGAGATCGGCCCTTTGAATAACCGACCGGCAGGAAGGATAGTCCGCAGACTTAATAAATAAAATACAAGTTCAGAAAACAACCTCCCATGATGCCTTGCGTTAGCCTACCTGCGTGAGAGTTTGGAGGTGAGTTTCGAGAACAGGTTGGTGGATCCTCTGGCTCGTGATTTGGCGAGAGGTGAGGCGTCATGTGACAGGCTGGGCGAGGCGGGGGGGCCGTTGCAGGTGGCGGTGCGTCTGTCTCTGAGCTGGCCTCCGTGGAAGGTGCTGCGACTCGTCGTCCCCCGAGGGAAACGCAGCCGGTCAGCTGGAGTCGCTCCGCTGCTAACGCTGTGGGTGGAGGCTCCGCCCCCTGTCCTCTGAGGGGTGGTGGAGGCCGAACTGTGGTGGGGGGGGAGGGATAGGACGGGTTAGACGTTACATTAGATCAGTGGCTCACCTGGGGGACAGGTGGACTCGTACCTGTCCTCTTTGCCGTTCTGGACCTGCCGCTCTGTCGAGTTCCTCTCGCTGCAAACATATGTGTTCCTCCTGGACATGCTGGACCCTCCGCCCTGAGACACAGAGACACCTGAGACACACATCACCTGAGACACAAAGATACCTGAGACACCTGAGACACCGAGACATCTGAGACACACATCACCTGAGACACAGAGACACCTGAGACACTAAGATACCTGAGACACCTGAGACACCGAGACATCTGAGACACAATGACACCTGAGACACAAAGATACCTGAGACACCTGAGACACAAAGATACCTGAGACACCTGAGACACAGAGACACCTGAGACACAGAGACACAGAGACACCCGAGACACAGAGACACCTGAGACACAGAGACACCTGAGACACGCATCACCTGAGACACCTGAGACACCTGAGACACGCATCACCTGAGACACAGAGACACCTGAGACACGCATCACCTGAGACACAGAGACACCTGAGACACAGAGACACCTGAGACACAGAGACACCCGAGACACAGAGACACCTGAGACACGCATCACCTGAGACACAGAGACACCTGAGACACAGAGACACCCGAGACACAGAGACACCTGAGACACAGAGACACCTGAGACACAGAGACACCCGAGACACAGAGACACCTGAGACACGCATCACCTGAGGACCACCTGAGGACTGTGGGTGCTTGTAAACGCAGCCTTAAACCTTTCTGGGGAGCTTCAGGTTGAACGGTGGCCCCGGGGCCCTCTTACTGTTTGTATTTCCGGCTCTTACCCGTTTCATCATGTGGGATTTGTGTATCGTTATTAGGGATGGAAATTGATAAGATTTTAACGATTACGATTCCATTATCGATATTGCTTATCGATCCGATTCCTTATCGATTCTCTTATCGATTCTCATTGGATGAGGAAATAAGTACAAGTTTGTTTGTTTGTATTAACTCGCTTTAATTTCTGATCAGAAGACACAGCACAGAGTTTACACAAATTATGTGTAACAACCTTAGAACAAGCCTAAAAGTAGGTGAGTTACTTCTCAAAGTAAAGTCCAGGGACCCTTAGCCTAGGGCAGTGTTTCTCAACCAGTATGCCATGGCACGCTAGTGTGTGTCTTGTAAGATTATCAAGAGTGCCTTAGGATTAGGAAATTGTTAATTTCCACATTAATTGGTCCAGACAAAAAATTAATGTTTGGCTTTTTAAGCCCAACTGCCATTTTGTGCCATAAAAACTAAAACACAGACTGAAAACAGTCAAGGAAGAGCTTGTGCCTTTTGGAATATTAACTGTGCTCATTTGGACTCAACTTGAAACAAAATAGTAGTAGTGGTCTTGACTGAAACTAGTCCAACCATCTGCTGTGATGGCTGCATGTGTGACATGTTTCAGGTCTGTGATCAGATTGCTCTTTTCAACCCCATACCAAGCAGGGATCAGATGATTTGTTAAACTGTCTCTGTTTGGGGCTTTGCATTTTGGGAAGCGGAACCGATAAGTAGAATCGTTAAGCAGGCGCGCTAACGGTTCCAAGGAATTGATTCACTGGGCACCGGTTCCGAAGAAGAACCGGTTCTCGATTCCCATCCCTAATCGTTATTATGATGAGGTCACCTGAGGACTCACAGTGGGCGTGGCCGACGTCTTCCTCCGCTCAGGGATGTCGGCCATGTTGGGGTTGTTGGCGTTCCCCAGCAGAGGACTGCCTCCCTCCACCTCCTGCTGCACCTCCCCCTCTGCTGCCGCTGCCGTCTGACTCCTCCTGGAGAGAGGAGCAGCTGAGGAGGCAGGACACACTGGAGGGGAGGAGAGAGAGGGGGAGAAGAGGACGAGAGAGAGGAGGGGGAGGAGAGGATGAAAGAGAGGAGGGGGAGGAGAGAGGGGGAGAACAGAAGGAAAGAGAGGAGGGG